AACGACGGATCGCTTTTTTAATTTGATTTTTTCCGTTGCTATTTAATAGCAACGGATAATTTTTTTTTAAAAAAAAATTTGTGGCTTTTAAATAAAGCTACAAATTTTAAAATAAAAAAAATTATGTGGGCTTTTATTTAAGGCCCCAAAATTTTTAAGACTCAAGTTAGACCTTAGTTGGGCTTGGCTCGCGAGCCTATGAGCCTATAATATCAGACTCAGCTCGGCTCACTAGGCTCGCGAGCCTTAAGGCCTATGAGGAGCTTTATATATAACTGGATACTTTTTTTACTTCCATATATAGAATAGATTCTACATAAATTTTAAAAAGTCGAAATATCTCAAAAATTCAAAATCAATTTTGAGAACATGTATAATATATACTATAGAAAAAGTTTGATATTTTTTCTAGAATTCTATTTTTTATTTAGACAATTTAAATGAAAATAAAAAAGTATAGAAGAACAAGTTAAAACAAAAAATAAATTTTTTTTCAATAACAATAATTGTTCAAATTAACTTTTTTCAATTTGAACAATTTTTTTTTCAGTTTAGACATCTTGATGAATTTTATATAACTCGATTTAATATATTTTGATATATCCTACACAAATTATTTGATAATACTGTAGAATATTAATTTTATTTATTTTTATTATATTATTATTTAATACATTTATTATTTATTTGTAATTTATGTTAATCGAAGATTATGTAATAGGTGGCTTACCAGGTTAATTACCAGGTGAATCACCTAGGTAAATTACCTGTTGCACGTAACAAGTGGATCACCAGGTTAATTACCTCCTGCTAAAATTGGTAAATTATTAATTTGGTAGATCGTTGCGTGCAGTAAATTAAAGGAATATAAATATAAATTTTCTCTGACCTAGGAAGGGAAGTCCAAGAAGTTTTTAGAGTTCTCAATAGTTTAAGTGACTAGAACAAAGTTGTATCTTCTAGTTAATACATTATTTAATCCTTTAATATTTACCTTTATTTTTATAATTTCTATTTTATATCATATTTTATCTTTATATTTATTATTATATTTATTAATAAAGTTATATCGTATTAAATATTCCCATTAAATCTTTAATTTATTAATTTGTCATGTAAATCTTAATAAAACCCAAGTTAATCTTGTATAAATACTCTTTAGCATATACATCTTATTAAGCGGACAAGCTGATTTGATGTGCTAAAACCCCACACAATAAAGAACTCACCTTGTAATATTCATTCGAATTCACTATTAAATAATTGAATTGAGTTGATCTTAGTGATCCTCGAGAAATTCTGAGAATTATTTAAGTAGTTTAAGTTAATTTAGTTAAAGAATATTAGTTATCCTCCAGACCCTTGTCCACATATTGGTATGACAAATTGGCGCCTCCTGTAAGGTTGTGATATTTTATTAGATAGTTTTCTTTATGTTTGATTGGAATCAACAACAGATATTAATTAATTTTCATGATAGATTGCATTTACCCGATACCCCTTTCAATCATTATTTTTCTAATTATTTAGATTCTTTTTGTATTATTTGTTATCCCACCCCTAATAACCATTCAGATCAATTCAACGTATTTTGGAATTGATTTACTTTTATTTCTTCTGCGTATCAATTTTCTCGTATAACTACTGAAATATTTGATTAGTATATTCATAATTTTAATATTCCTGTACAAACTAGAATAGTTGATCGACTTTTATCTAGTATTAGGTTTCGACATTCAGAAATTCGAGATACTCTTGTAAATTAAATAAACAATTGTATCCAGCATACACAATTATTTACCCGACACTTAGAGGAGCTTGAAAATCTCCAAAATCTAGAAAATTACACAACTACAGACTCCAATACTGAAACATCTGATGACGAAGAACCAGACCTAGTTGATAATTTGATGAATATGAATAATGGTCAAGTAGGACAACTCCTTAATCTCGTCTGAGCTATAGGTGAACACCTTGCAGTTCAAAACAATGTCCCTATGCCCACATTTATAAGAGGAATTCAGGATCCTATGGAATGGCTCGAGGAATTTGAACGATGTGCAACAATAAATAGATACATCAACGAATACAAATTCCAAGTAGTTGGAGGATACCTAATGAATGAAGTCCAAACATGGTATCAGTAAATTATGAATGATGCCACATGAGTCTTTCAATCTTGGAGTACTGCAAATAATTAAAATTTCAAAGCCATGTTCTTAACACAATTCTGAACCCAAAGAAAGCTCCTACAGTAGAGAACTGACCTATAAAATCGAATGCAAACAGTAGGTAAAAGTATTAACCACTATGCCCAAGATATTAAGTGATTAATTAAAAGGGTAGATCATCAAGAAAATTGAAACGAACAAGATAAAATTTATTAATTCATGAAAGGACTGAGGAGAGAAATTGCCTTTCAAATTTGACCACTTCTGTCTTTTCGACATAATACCACTCTCGAACAAGTAATTGAAGTAGCTTGCCAAATGGATGAAAACAATAAGGATTACCCCGAAGCTTTAATAGAATTTGGAAGAAACCATACAAGTCTTCCACCTATTTCTCAAAACTATCCTGTCCCACAAAATGATATTGAAGCCGCAGTAACAAAAGCCTTGGCTCCTTTAATACAAGCTTTAGGAGGATTGGCAGTAAATATTTCAAATGTTCCAACATCCTTTCCTACCCAAGGAAATAATAATAATATAAACAGACCATGGAATAGGCAACCACGTAAAAACTCAACATGCTACAAGTGTGGACAAGTAGGACATATAGCAAGAAATTGTCCTACACAATAACCACCTAATTTTCAACAACCCCCTCCAAATAATCAAAATAATAATATGTATGCTACACATTTCTTTGCCCAATAACAACAACTGTAACAAATGTATCAACCAGTAATGTAGCAAGTTTCTTCACAACCACAAGTAAATCCAATCCCTACAAACCAACCTATTCAACAACAAGCTTTTCAACAAGTTCCAACTCAAACCATATTAGTAACAATGGATAAAGGAGGAGTAGGACAACTATCCCAACAATCATTCGACCATTTAAACTAGAATGCGCACCTCAAGAGGGTGAGTGTGCGAAGGATAATACAAACCCCTTATTTACTAGAGAAAATAATTCAAAACTTACTCAGCTGTATATTTATATTGAACAACGAAATATGGATATTGATGGAAATAACCAAGCTAGTGGTTCTGAAAAATCAAAAAACCAATCAGGACGAAATGTGAAAGCTAAACTTGATCCTGAAGTGCAAGACGATGAGGATAAGGAAAAGAAAAGGAAAACATCTAAAGGGTCAACTGAGAAACCTGCTATTGTATAAATGACTATGCCTTATTCTATTATTTCTGACCTAATGCATATTAAAGCTGAAATATCTTTTAGACAACTAATGAGCTTACCGCCATTTAAAAATGAAGTAAAAAAGACAATAACTCCTCGAAGAAAACAAGCTTCCAAGGAAAAGTGAGAGAAAGGAAAGGGTAAAGCTGAAGAAGCTAATTTAGGAGAAAGTTCTTTTCGCAATACTCCCATGATTTGTAAAGGACAAGTGAAAGGATGGACTGCTGATATTATTCTTGACAGTGGATCCTCCCCTAGTATTATCTCCCGAAAATTCTTAGAGCACTTAGGATTACAAGTTACCCAAAAATCTGAACGAATGATAACTGGTATTCATGTTAACAAGAAATCCAGTATGAAAATTATAGAGGATGTACCAGTTCACCTGGGAGAAGTAGTTATCTCTACCAGTATGGAAGTAATCGACACCCAAGCCTATAATATAGTTCTAGGAACTGATTGGTTACAAAAATCCCAAGCAGTAATTGACTACCAATGCTGACGCACTTTCAAGGCTAGAAACCACTCCAGTACATAGCCTCCTGAATTTCTTATATTAATTTAATCTTATAAATAAACACAAAATAATTCACACAAAATGGATTTGGAAGTATATAATAACCTCATTAATTATTTATTATTTCATAAATATTCAGAAAATTTTATAACAAGTGACAAACAAAGATTAGCAAGGCAAGCGACACAATATTTGATAGAACAAGGGCAATTATTAAAGAAAAACAAAAACAATTTTGATAAACCGTTATGAGTAATAACTCTACAGGACAGAGAACGAATTTTATATGATCTACATTCATCCCCCTTAGGGGGACATTTTGGATTCAAAAAAATAATTGAGAAAGCTCTGAAAAGATATTACTGGCCTACAATGGGAAAAGACATTAAGGCATATATCGAATCTTGCGATAGTTGTCAGAGATTTGGTAATCTCCAAAAGATACAATTGACTGAATCTATACCAGTTATTCGACCCTTCTTTCAAATAGGAATTGACTATGTTGGACCTTTGGAAACAACTGAAAATGGAAACAGATATATCATAGTGGCAACAGATTACTTCACCAAATGACCTGAAGCACGTGTCGTAAAAACAGCAACAGCTAAAGAAGCTGCTCAATTTCTTTATGAGGAAATCATTTGTCGACATGGAATCCCATCTATAATCTTATCTGATAGAGGTGCTCATTTTGTAAATGATACAATCAAACTTTTAAAAGAGGAAATAGGATTTCAACACAAATTGGCACTGTCTTATCATCCTCAAACGAATGGATTAACAGAAAGATTTAATGAAACCTTATGTAGATTTATTGCAAAATGTTTACAAACCAGTCAGTCTAATTGAGATCAATTGATACCTTCAGTACTCTTTACTTATCGTACCTTAAAGCATGAATCAACAAAGTATACCCCCTTTTATTTGGTACATGGAAGAGAAGCACAACTTCCTATTGATGTCGAGTTTAATAATAAGGAAAATCATTCTGTTTTAACTTATAAAGAGGCTTTAGAACGAAGGATCAGTTCTTTAATAGGAACCTTCACTGACGCACTTATAATCTCCTCGAGAAATGTAACAAGTGTACAAGAGTTACAAAAGGAAAGGCAAAAACATTTGGCTAAAGCTCACGAGTATCACGAAAATGATATCATATTATTATATAATTCCACTAAAAAACAAGTACATGGACAAAAGTTTAATCCTAAATGGACAGGACCGTTTTGGATAGAAAAGAAGTTAGGTAATAAGGTTTACTTGATAAGGGATTAAATTGGTAATATATTACCTAATCCTGTTCATGCAGAGAGATTAAAATATTATAAACAAAGGCATCTTGTAGAACCTTGTGTGATAATCACCCCAAATTAGTCAAAGTTTAATTAAACACCTGGACACGAATTTTATTATATAAAGGACCTTATTTTTCTCAAGTTCTAAAATTTTACAAATCATGAAACTTCAACTTTCAGAAACTCAATATGTTAGATTATTAGAACTTTACTAAAGTTTACAATTAGATTACACTTCTGTTAATATACAAATGACCTCTATACGAATTATTGTACAAAGTAATTCTCAACAAACCTCTTTAATAATTCCTACTCACTACCGACGAACACGACCTCAAAACTTTAACAGATATATTGAAGATGCATGCAATGCTGAAGTTGACCTTGACCTTGAATTATATGATAAAGGAGATATCCTATCTCTTGTAAGTGTTGCCATTGATACTGCAAAAACAAATAGACAATGACTCTTTGCATACTTGAAATCCTGATTATTATTATCAAAAGATCTTGTTAAGTGACAATTAACTATGAAACAACTGAGACAAGAAGTTCAACAAATAACCGGTCAGAATGGTGCTCGATTCTTAACTGTTGCAAATAGAGCGCAAAGACTATTGTCTGTGCTTGGAGAATTTCCAATTCCTCAATTTAAATATATTACTTCTAATTGGTTATATCATTTAACTAGTGTAGACTTTGATTATTTTATTCGAAAATATAGAGAACAACTTTCTCAAAATATGGAACATTTCGCAGGAGCTCAATACTAAGGAGGAAATGTTGTAAAATATTAATTTTATTTATTTTATTATATTATTATTTAATATATTTATTATTTATTTGTAATTTATGTTAATCAAAAATCATATAACAGGTAACTCACCAGGTTGATTACCAGGTAAATCACCTAGGTAAATTACCTGTTGTACGTAACAGGTGGATCACCAGATTAATTACCTCTTGCTAAAATTGGTAAATCATTAATTTGGTAGATCATTGCGCGCAGCAGATCAAAGGAATATAAATATGAGTCTTTCTTGACCTGGGAAGAGGGAGTCGAAGAAGTTCTAAAGTTCTCAATAGTTTAAGAAACTAGAACAGAGTTGTATCTCCTAGTTAATACTTAATTTAATCTTTTAATATTTACCTTTACTTTTATAA